AGGAAGACCTGCAGGCAGCAACTTCCCTGCTAGGGCATGTTGATATGACCTAACTTCCTTCCAAAGACATCTGTACTTTTTTTATAGGTTTCATCACCTTCTAACGGTGGCCCTAACTGGCAAGCAAAGCACATAGACTTTTGGACATGTTCTGGATACAAACTATCCCACCACCGTGAGCCCTTCTTTCCCCGTTTCAGTTTCTTCCTCTGCCCAAGCCTGCCAACAATGGTCTGTGATTCTGCCTAACCCACATCTCCCATGCTCATGTCAGGTAAGAAACTCAAGAACCCCTTCAATAACTTCACCGGAGCCAATGAATCCCTTCAGACCAGGAGGCCTGGTCACGCTGGCGGAGGGTGTGGCAACCGCACTCTTGCTGCCTGGCTTCAGCTGACACTGCCCAGGTGTCCAGATTCTGGACCTTTGCAAACTTCTGAAGGTGTTGCGATGCCTCGTTCCTGTGACTTCAGGGTGATACAAGTCACTCTAAAGAACTGAGTGAGTAGGGGAAATCCTACCTCATACATAAATATCTCTCTCAGAGTAACTCTGCAATTTTGTGCTATTTCTTGTAAACCCAAACATTTTAGCCAAATCATAAAACTCTGCGCGAAACACAAGGTTACACAGGCAGAAAGGAACTCTACTTAAATGGTGGGAAACAGGAAACAGTTGAAAGTGGGAGGCTGGGGCTGTAACTCAGTGTATAAGGTGCTTGCCATGCAAACACAGTGACCTGAGTCTAATCCTCAGAACCAAAGGGAAAAATCTGGGCATGGTGGGGTGTGCTTGAAATCCCAGCACTGGAGAGGTAGAGACAGGAGGATCCCTGGGGATACCTTGCCAGCCAGTTGACTCAAATCAGCAGACTCCAGGCAAATGAAAGACCCTGTCTCAAAACACAAGATGGATGACATTCCTGAGCAACAACACGGAACATCAATGAGCATCCTCACCTACCACAAACAGGCATATGAAAATACACTCATACATAAGAAAAATAAACAAGTGGACCTAGATGGAAGTCCTAAGATTTATGTAATTTGAGCGAGAAGACTACATCCACTGTTAATATACTCTGTACTGTGTGTAAAATGGAGCCTTGCACAGTAGCGTGGATGATTTGAGAACCACTGACTTATATAATTGACCAGGGCACTCTTTAAGGGAAAGCATACTAAATATTTTCCTACATTAAAAAAAAAAAAAAAACTTCTTAAGAAGTAACATTTTCCAAAAGACACAGGCCAGGTCAAGGGTCTCTCACAGGACCACAGAGGACCCAAGTGAACTGCCTGAGATCCAGGGGGCACCTTCCTTACTTCTGGCCAGCCCCTAAGCAGTTGCAATTAAAATAAGTAGAGGTTTACCAACCTTTGCAAAATAATACACATTTTCCTAGCAAATCCCTGAGACAGGAGGATTATATATTTGAGTCCAACCTGGGCTCATAAGATCTTCTCTCAGAATAAATCTTCCTGCCTAGCATTTTAATTGGTGGCTGTTTTCCTGGCTCCCAGGAGAAAGTGAGCAAGGTTCATGAATGTTTCCTGGAGAACTAAGTTAAGGAAATCAAATTGGCTTTGAAATGTCCCGGGCGCCCTTGGTCAAATTACTACCCTCACTGTGCCCCCCCCCCCATTTCAAATGGAGATGGTAACGGCTTGTCTTCCAAGGTGCAGTTGGGAAGACTCTGCACCCAGTCATGGCTGGCTACCGGAGGCGGCAGCAGCAAGAGCAGAGCAGCACGAAGCTTGCTTATGACATGTATCCTAGAAGGATATCACTCGGATTAGAAGACTGCTTCCACCTCTCCACCGCAGTGCAAGTGCACACAAGTGAAAGACTCTTGGCCTTCATCTCCTGACTTACATAGCAGAAAACATAATGAGGGCATTGGCCTCAGAGTTATTTTAAGATTAAATAAGGCGATGGAGATGATGTGCACAGGCGTCTCTAACGTCACTCGAGCATGTGGTATAGAGCCATAGATTCCAGCTGCTGCTGCTGCTGCTGCTTTTTATGCTGCTGAAGCCACCAGTGGTCTCCCATAATAATCCTCATTGGCTCAGGAACCCCAAAGCACCAAGCTGTTCTTCACTTTTCCTTTCCATGACTGAGCACATGGTAAGAAAGTCAGCAGATTCTCTGAATTGCAAACACAACTGAATTGAATGTTCTGTTAGTCAGAGTTTCTTAGAGGTGCAGAGCTGACAGAATGAATATGTATACGGGATTTATTAGATTGATTTATACAACGGCCTGATAGTCTTAACAGTAGCTGGCTGTACTATGAAGAGGCTGAGAACCCTGTAGACACACAAAACTAGATGTCTCTGCAGTCACCAAAGGCCTGAAAGATTTCCAGAGAGCCAAGGTCTTCAGTGTGCCCAGAGGTTTGTCTCTTAGTAGATTCGAGGCATGGTTAACTTGACAACCAAGAAAATCCATCACAAACACCTTTGTCCTATCTATAGAAGTCGTGGATTTCATTCACCTGATACCAACGAATAAAAGTACTTCTACAGAAATCAAGATCTGGTTGATCTGATGGGGTAAAATTAGAAGGGCCTGCTGTTCCTTAGAAATTAACCAAATTTTCACCTCTAGGCTGGACAAGTTGTATTGACATTATGTGTTCTTAATCTAGAAAGCGTAAAAAAAATTAAACCTAGCAGATATGGGGAGAGGAGCAGGCTCTGTCAGCTTTTATTACCACCTCAGGAGCCACCAACAAAGTGGTCATGGGCAGATTTCTGAGGCTACCTGAAAGATGGCGGCAATCGTTAGTTGTACTGTGAGACCATCCAGAAAGGAAGTTCAGCTACAAAACACAGAATGTTAAGAGATAGACCAGGAACCCAACTCCAGAGCATAGAAACGGTAGAAGGGTGCTCTACCCTGTTCCATCTTTCCCACTCTGTCTAACACCTCTGGAGGAAGTACTGGCAAGAAGATACTACTTAGCTTCTTGAGTAAGCAGGACTCCACCAAATGCCATGTGGCTGTATCCTGTATCCTGTATCCTGCCTGCTACAAGTTTCTAGAAAATATCACTAAGAAGAAATGGAACAAGTGGTTCCAAATTGCATCAGTGTTATTCACAACAATGTGACTTGGGTATGTACCACTGGATGGATAGAAAACACGTTGCACACCCAATGAAATAGTAGTAGCCTTAAAAAAAAAGAAGGGAAAGTTGACAAATGCCACAGCATGTAGGAAACTTGAGGGCACTACAGTAAGTGAAATAAGCTAGTCACAAGAGGTCAAATTCTATAAGGAATTCCCCTGCTGTGAGATTATCCTAACACCTTGAAAATGAGTACAAAACCACAAGTGGACACTCATCCCTAAGTGAGGTGTCATCATCAGATCCCTCCCCCAGGGCTCAGGGATCTTTGTGGAAGAGTTAGATAAAGAAAGATTTTATGAGCCAGAGGTGATAGATGACTCCAAGGGAACAGGGTCTTCTGGACATAATAGGACTGATGCACATAGAAACATACAGAGATCATTGTAGCACACACCAAACCTGCACAGATTCAAGCCAGATGAGAAATAGCACTGAAATAGGGAAACTGACACGGGCTTCATTCGCTAACCAAGATGCTAGCTGCAGTTGATACCTGCTGGCAAAGGAAAGATGATTTTCCTCTGATGGAGTCCTGCTAGGCAGAGTACCACCTTCAGGGCAGGCCCCATGCCCAGGGGTCATTGCCAACACAAAAGGAAGTCAATGGAATTTTTGTAGACTTTTTGTCTTATCTTTCTTTCTTTGAGTTTTTTTTTTTTCTTTTTTGGGGGAGGGGAAGGTTTCTTTTGTGTGTTTCTTGTTTGGTCTGTGTTTGTTAGAGAGAGAGAAAGAATGTGCAGTTGGGTGGTTAGGGGGTAGGGAGATAGGGAGGATGTAGAAGGAATTGGAAGAAAGAAAAAACATGATAAAAATATTTTGTATGAATTTTTTCAATTAAAAAATGACAGAGATGTTAAGTTCTATATCACTCTTACCACGACAAAAATTAATCTGTTAAAAGTAGGAGCTAAGAGTCATTTCAAGATATTAAGAGCTAAAACATTTGCTTCTACCTACACACTCTCCAAAATGCCATGAGTTACCTTTTATACAAATTCATAGCGTAGGAACTGAAAAGACAAAATGTATTAAAACTCATTTATTCATTGGCGGTTTCCTACATGTATGAACAGTATCTTTACCATATCCACTGCCCAGTCTCCCTGGATCCCACCCAGTATGTCCCCTTCACATTTCAAGTCCTCTTCTTGCTTTTCAATATAACTTTTTGAGTCAAATCAGTGTTGCTTATTTTCACACGGGTACGGGGCCATCCGCTAGAGCACGGGCAGCATACGACTGCTCACCCTTCCAAAGGAACATTGCTATTTCTCCCTCAGCAGCCATCAAATGCTGCTAGCTCCCTACCTGAGGAGAGGGACGCATGAGTGCCTCCCAGTCCATGATGGCATGCTGACTGACTCGATTCTATGCAGATCCATGGCAGCATGACAGCTGCCCTGAGTTTATAAGTACAATGGCCCACACCATGTCCAGAAAACAGCATTTCAGAGAACTCTTCTTTGGCTCTTACACTTTTTCCACCCCTTCTTCCTAGATGTTCCCTGAACTTTGAAAGAGGGGAGGGGTTGAGAGAGATGGCCCATATAGGAATGAAATCATATAGTCTCTTCCTCTTGGCACCTTGACCAGTTATAAGTCCCTGCATTCACCACTGCCCACTGTAAGGAGAATCTCCTTTTACCAAGGTTGAGAGCAACATTAATCTATGGGTAAAACATACATATTTAGAAGGAAGTTTGACATATCCATTTCACAACACAATGGTTCCCCACTAGATTCCCTACTAGGGTCTTGGCCCTCTCAAGCCATAAACTTTTGATTAGTTTATAGTACTAGAAATTAATTAGTACCTGTGAAACAGGCCCCAAATACAACCATAAAGTGGCTGCTTACCTACCATACGCTCAGGCCATTATTGTACCAGTGGATACATCAGGCCTAGCATGTCGTTTTTGTAGCATGAAGGGTCCTTCGCTGGATAAATCCACCAATATTTATTCTCCCCCAGCATCTTGTTCAGCACCTGCTGGCACTGTGTCACCTCGTCAGCAGAGAGGAAACTTCCAGGTCGTTTCCAGCCAGGTATCTCTGTGGTCTGCAACCACAATGTGCAGTGAAAGAAAAAATAATAATAATTAGTACTGCATTATCAAATGAATTTACATATGAATTTTTTACTTAGGCAGGTATCATTGAGCACTCAAACGCTAAGTGATTGGCAACTTATAATTAAGATGCGCAGAAGTTTTAACTGATAAAAATTCACAGCATTTTAAAATACATCATCATCTCTTCTTAAGTTCCACCGTACTCTAGTCTCGAAATTCAGTCTCATCTATGGTGGTAACCAGTGCTCAAACTGAAAAAAAAAAAGTAAATCACCAAATAAATAATTTCAGAGCAGACATTCCTACCTTAAGAAGTATGTTGTGGTGGTTTGAATAGGTTTGGCCCCCTAGACTCATGTGTTTGAATGCTTGGCCCATGGGGAATGCCACTCTTAGGAGCTGTGGCCTCGCTGGAGAAAGTGCATCACTGTGGAGGCGGGCTTTGGAGTCTCCTACAAAGGCCAGACCAGTTTGGCACACATTCCAGTCCCCTCTTGCTGCCTGCAGATCAAAATATAGAATCTCAACAACTCCAGCAACATGTCTGCCTTCGTGCTTTCATACTTCCTGCCCTGATGATAATGAACTAATCCTCTGAAACTGTAAACCAGCCCCAATTAAACATTTTCCTGTATAAAAGTTGCCATGTCCATCGTGTCTCTTTCACAGCAATGGAAATCCTAAGACAGAAGTCTATTACTTAACAGTCTACATACTGACAAGATAAATGCGCACTTACATGTATTGGGAGTAGGGAGATGGCTCCATGGGTAAAATGCTTGCCATTCAAGCATGAGGACCAGAGTTTGCATCCCCAGAATGGGCATAAAGCTAGATGGAGTAGCGGATATATGCAATTTTAGCACTCATAAGGTGAAATGCGAGGCAGTGATGGGAGAATCTCAAAAGCTTTTGGGATAGTTAGCCTGGTGTGGGTTGCAACAAAAGACAAAAGAGATATCCTGCATCAAACAAGATGTAAAGCAAAGGCTAGCCCAAAGTTGGCTTCTGACCTATACACACACACCAAGGCGAAAAGGTCATGGCACACCTCCACTCACACACAAGAAAGCACACACCATATACAAACACATCATATCTACATATATAAAGGTAAAGATGTTGTCCTGCCTATGTCAATCTGTAAGTGCTGATAGCATATACCCTTGACTCAAAGAATGGAGAGAGTGTGTAAAAGTGCATTCTTCCAGTGAGACACAAATTCGTTGTTATAGAGGAAAAGTTTTCCTCCAGAAACTCAGGGATCTCATCCAACATCTGACACCTTCCAGCACATATCTCTCCTCCACTTTACCTGTCAGCACAATGCTGCTGCCATCCTGAGTCCATGCACATGGGAGGCTGGCTTGAAGGCAGTGCAGGCCATGCCCTGCTCCTGACAGCAACTAACCATCAGAAGCTGGGAAGCCTGTCCCTGACAGCTGAGGACTTCTGCTGAACAGTGAGAAACTACTTCAATGCCTACACAGACCTTTATAATTCTTGTCATGGCATTGGCTATGAGATCATGTGAAACTCAAAAAAGTATCAAAATACTATAGTAACTGATAACTGACCTATTAAGGAATGTAATCCCTGACCCCATAGGCATATATCATTCTCATGAAATAGGAATATAAGAAGAAACAGAACATCCCAAGAAACATCTGTCTGTCAAAAAAAGAGATAAATGGCAGTTAGAAAAATAGTATCATTAAATATTCTTCACCATATAAGACATTAAGGATCTCTGGACTTTCTGTGAGGCATGCGGAGCTTGCCTTTATTCCTGTTCTAAGGTCAATCTTCTATAATTCACATCTCTTTCAGGCCAATCTTTTGAAACCAATGAAGTCACAAGCAACATTAAGACTTGAACACACAGTGAAGCATCCTATTGCCAGGTACCTCCATGTACAGCTCGGGTCTATGTTGAAAGTTTTACATGGTACTCTTTTATGAATACACAAGGAATTTGGCTTTGAAAGGTATTTTCATGGCCCCACCTAAATTCTCTAGTGCAATAGAAGCTGAGGAGGACCCTTCTAAGACATGCAACACTTTTGCATTCCTGTGAAGACTTCCATGGACTAGATCTCCAGTCTCATAGAGCACAATACACCCATATGCATGCAAAGATGTGTTAGCCTCCACATGGTTAAGCTTCCTGGAAAGATAAGTGGACCCAAATTGGTGTGTGTTGTGTAGTGATTTTCTCCACATTGAAGTATTCTTTCCATATTGTTCATATCTCCCCAAGAAACATTAGCACAACAGAGTGCTACAAGGAGCCCTTCCAAGGCAGAAAGGTATCTGAAAAAGAGTCAAAAGCATCTCTTCATGAAGAGCTTTGGCTGGGCTGGTCAGTAGGACAAACACATCCCCCCGCATCCTGTCACCACGATCAACCTAAAGAGAAGTCCAATCCAAGCTCCTGACTCAGTTCTTTCAAGATTTTCTCTTTGATTAGAACACCCCTTTTCTATTTTTTGATCATGCAAAACAGTTGCTTATTAACGAGCTTTCAAATTACATAAAGAAGGATGAAATGCACAGAAACACTAATATGCCCTGTGGCACTGTGCTTTGAGTGAAGGAAGGCACTCGTGTGTCAGTGAACAAGCGAACAGGAAGGACCCACTGTAGCAGAGGCAGAGTGGGAGAAATTCAGCCCAGAGTGAGAGGTGGGGGGCCAGGAAAAAAAAAAAAGATACTCTAAAAGGAAAGCAGACAGACACAGGCACATAGAGGCACACATCACAGGTACCTTAAATGACAAGAATTTCAGACCTGAATTACTGTTCAGTCATGTTTTATACCTTAAAACTTCATGTGGTTTCCCTAGCAAATGAACCAGGGTAGGGCAGAGGGCTGTCTCCAACACTGACTTTGTTGTCTGCTTTTGGATCACTTCCTTCCAGTGGGGGCTGCCTTGCCTTGCCTCAGTAGAACCAAATGCACTCAGTCCTACTTCGACTTGATGTGCTGGGGTGGATTGATATGGGGGCTCCCTTTTCTGAGAAGATGGTGAGGTAAGGAGGGGAGGGGGGGAAGGTTGGACCAGGAGGAGAGGAGGGAGGGGTCTTCTTTCAGGATGTAAAGTGAATAAATATATAAACTTGTATTAAAAAAAAACTTCAGTTTTCACAGATAATCATCACAGAAGCATGGGTGCATATGCAACAGACAAACAGTCACACGCTTACACACACACACACACACACACAAACACACACACACCCCTACCTTAACAATAATATGACGATTTTCCTCTGTATGCTCCTCTTCCTTTCCAGATGGTACCAATTAAGAGCAAGACCCCAATCCTAACAGATGTTAGCCAAACAAGCCCAAACTGAGGTTTAAAGCACAAAGTAAGACACATTTACTACACCCAAGAGAAGCAAAAATAAGTATCATGTATGCGCTGGGCCATTTGGGTTAACTTGAAATGACTAGAGCGCCCACCAAAAGCTGCAATTAGTTTCAACTTCTTTCTCCAATTTGTAATTAGCATATTAAATGTTGTGGCAGTATTTAACAAAATTCTGATCATCAGAATGCTTTTGACCTACTGGACTGGTCCTTGACTTCCTTTCAAAATGCAACGGACACCTCTAAGATTCTGCTTGTATTAGAACTGGGAACTTTTGAGGCTCTAACTCAGCAATATCAGCCACAAATATGTAGTTTGCTCTATGTCGGGGCAAAAAAAAAATCTTTTTCCAGTTCTCTCTGCTGGCTGTGGGCAAGCTCGGCTGGCAGGGCTTGGCAGAGCTGTATTTGGGATAGTGAGCAGAATGCCTAACTAGGAATTTCTGTCACCGCTTCACACCCCTTCCCAGCACTAATATTATCCTGAACGACAGGTGGCAGTAAAGAGACACCGTCTGCGGGAGCTAATTAAAGAGGTTTTTCTACTTCAGGAGGAGTTCTACAAATGCTGCTTAAAACCCAGGATTAGGAGGCAAGGGGAGGGGAACCTGATTCAAGCTTCTCTGCACACACGGTTCTGTTTCTACATATGCTGCACGTAGCTTGGGGGTTCTCCCATCAGCCTCTTCTCCCCTTTCAAGCAATCACCTGAGGATGTAAATGCTCTTACAGCGGAGAGCTCAGACTGTGCAATAGGTGAGTCTCCAACCGAAGACTCTGTACCTACCTGACCCCATGTGTGCAAATGTGGACACACGCAGACACACACACACACCGATTCCGCTAAGAGAGCTCGAGCTTGTCAAAAGCACAGATTCCAAAGCAGGAAAGCCAAGGGGTGCTTTGTGTGAAATCTGCCATATTACAGGAACATTTGGTTTCTGAACTGCCTTAAAATGGTGACCTTTTTTCAATTGCCAAATAAACATTCTGCAAGCTGCACTGGTGTGGAACAAAAGTATCATCCAATAGTCGATGACGTTGATCAAAGAGTTGTCTTTTAGGGCCTTTTGTCATTTTGACCAGAAAAAGGCATTTGCTTAAAATCTGAGCAGAAACTGGCTCACTTTGCTTTAAATGCACAAAAAAAAAAAAAAAGTATTTCACAAACGGCACAGCACACAGATCCCTGAACAAAACAACACATCCAAGAAGAGAGAGGGAAGGGGGGTGGAGCGGGAATAAAACATCCAGTTCCAGGGAATACATGACTAATTTTGAATTAAGGAAAACTGGAGGTGTCTGTCCCAGTGGGAGCTGTCCCCAAAGATCCGCAACTGCAAGCATTAATCATCAAAGCCTGGAAAATACAATCTGTAGTTCATCTAGTACATTTTGCCCAGAAGATACAATCTATGACAGTCATGCTTACCCACGGAGCTGCAGTCCACCTCCCAGTGACAAATCTGCAGTTAAGTCTGGCCAAATCTCACTGACTCATCTCCGTGCCACTCTCTGGGTCTCACCCAGTGAAGGCATAGGCTGGTCCCATCCTTCCTGCAGTCATACTGTTTGGCCTGTAGGCTGGGCAGCAAGCCCTACTTCTGGTTATAGGTTCAAATGAAAGAAAGGGGGACCTTGACCTTAATACCAGGATCAAGTCAACAAGTTAATCATCACGGCGAGCTATTGTGAGCTCTTTGGATATGACTCTCTTTTCTTTACTTTTCTCCCTTTTTTTTTTTTGTGTGTGTGTGTGTGTTTGTTTGTTTGTTTGTTTGTTTGTTTGTTTGTTTTTTAGATGGGGGTCTCACCATGTAGGCCACAGTGGTATGGAACTCACAATTCTGCCTCAACTTCAGAAGTGCCAGAACTACAGTCAAGCACCACCAACAATTCCAGCTACTTTTCTCTTTTCTTAGTATGTGGCAAACCCAGGTTCTCTGGCCGAAGAATGGGTGCATGGATGTGTGGACAGAGAGAGAGAGAGAGAGAGAGCTAGAAACACTGCAGAGAGAGAGAACTCCAGCTCTTTCTTGTCCTGCCAATCTGCTGAGGACACTAGTTCAAAACACATTGATTGTGGAGGACATTTTTCTTAGCCAAACTGCTCAAATGATTCTCAA